ATGGAGACCCCAGTTATCCTGATTTGGTTAATACACATTGTATATGCCCGTATCAAAACATCACAATGTACCCTGTAAAGATGTACAACTATTATATACCCATAATAATTAAAAATAAATTTTAAAAAGTTAAAGAAGATAAGAAGGTCCCATCGGTACTACATAATAAAGTACAAAAAAAATAGTTAAAAAAAATAGAGATGGGTGAGTATGAAAGGTATCTATATAGAATTCAAACTGTTGAATATAAAATACATTTTGAGAAACAACAAAGGCAGATAGAAATAAAATGTGTTATGTTTGGAATTGCATGGAGAGCTGAAAGTATGTAAATTACCAAAAAGAGTGAATATAGCGGATTCTGGGAAAATGGCATGGCGTAGTTCTTTTGGTCTACTGGAATCCCACTATGAAAACAGCCACTTGGATAGTAAAACTGAAGACTGCACGGTCAATATCCACAACAAAAGTAGGTGACAGGTTACCCTAAGAGCCCCCAGATATGAGCAGGTGAGGCACACCATGAATCAGGACCCTCGGTGTCAACAGTTGTGTGGAAGGGATTGGAAGGCTAACTGGGATTCCAGCGGCTCTGAGAACAGTGTTTTGTGGAGCATGCAGGCCATCTGAGAACAGCAGCCCAAACTGAGAAGAGGGTAATGCGGGATGCGGTTCATAGCTGGACGCGAGAGGCCTGTGAATGTGCCAGAGTCCCGTGAAGATGGAGCCGTCTAAGCCATGCAGCCTCTTGAGAGTAAACTGAAGCTCCTTTCCATGAGCCCGCACTGAGGAGAAACCACTGGGAACAGAGTTCAATTTCAGTAAGACAGATAATGGTGCAAGGAAAGAAAAAGTCCACGTAAAAATGGAGGTTGGAGGGCAGAAGTGCAGGATCTGACAGCATGACACAGACGTTGTGTCACTTCGGGGAAAACAGCAGGAGAGAGAATTCTGGAGCCAGGAAGCTGCAAAAGCAATTGTGACCTACCTCCTCCTCCTAAAAGCATAGGAAATTTTATTTCACTTAAACAGGAGCAAAAGGAAGGATTTCAGTCTACTGCCGTACGAGTTACTATGAGGAAGAAAGGCTGAGGAGCCGAATAAGATCCCTGGAGGCAATGGAATCAGCCAGAGACACGCCCACAAGACAGTAATCTAAGATTCCAGAATGAACTGGAAGAAATTTAGAAAATGATAGATGCTATGAAAGAACAACGTAAAGCAGAATTAGAAAATCTCAAAAATAAGGTGATTAGAGATTAAGGAAGATTTGAAAAAAGGTGACAGAACTCAGGAAAGAATTAGAAAGAAAAGAAAATTGGAAATGTAGACTAAACTAGAAAAAATACAAAAGCAAATAAACACAATGGATAAAGCCTCGAGAAATAAAGGAGGACAGTTTTTAAAATTAAAAAAACAAAAATTTAAAGGATTCAAAAGAAAACTAAAGACATCTAAAATAGACCCCAGAAGACCCACTGTAAATGTAGTAGGTATCCCAAAGAAGAAAACTAAAAGCAGTGAAGCGAAACAAATATAAAAACTGCCATTCAAGGAGGTAAATGAAAGACCCTTTAAAACTATATGTTGAAAGGGCACACTGCATATCTAGGGAAATAAATTCAGAACAGCCAGCACTGAGAGAATTTAGTAAAATTAATGGTTTATAAGAGAAAATCACAATGTCATCACCAGTGCTTTATGCCAGAGGTAATGGAGTAACATATAATATTTAAAATACCCAAGAGGAAAATGGAAAGCTCTGGGTTTTATATTCAGCCAAAGTGACCTTCAGGTATAAAGACCACAAACTGGTAAGACTGGTAAGACCATATTCAAGGAATATTGTTTCTGGGAACCTTCCTGGGGAATTTTTTAAAGAGCAGGTTTCAGATAACCAAGAAGACAGAGATTTTGACATAAGTACTGGTGATTAACATTATTTTACCTATAACATTAAAATTAAATGATCATTATTAGGGAAGCAGTACAGTATACAAAGTAGATATAGCACTATTTCAAAAACAGG